AATATAAAATGTTTATAATTGTTAGTTGATTAGCTATTATTTTATTTAATGCTTAAATGCTAAAGTTTATTGCTTATAAACTTTAATTAATATTTTCTTAAACTTTGAGGCCTGCGCCTCACCTTTTTGGGCCATTACGCCTCAACTATGCCTAAAGCCTTTTGAAACCTTGATTGTAGATAAATTATAGAAACATAAGCCCCTTGGGCAAATTTTTAAGGTATTTATGATTTTGTTTCTAAAATAAAGATGGCTGTCATTTTAACAAAAAGAATATCCAGTGGAAAAAAAAAACAATACGATTTTGCTGATGTGGTAGTTGTTTCTCATTTTGAAAAATTGGGAAAATCTATATTGTTGGAAAGATACGATACCAAAAGAGCTTCGTCCAATCAACCCCCCTCCCCCTTTCCCCTATGAATTCATAGTTGAACCCAACAAAACCATGAATTTGGCAACACTCCTATAGAGACTTGTGTTGGTGCATGAGTAGACATGATCAAATATAATTTTTGCCTATTTATGATAGAATGCTGATGTGGCTAATTATTTAGGAGGTGTTTTACAACTTGATTTTTTTTTTCTTGTTGCCGGTTCAAAAATTAATCAAAACCATTTAGTTTGAAAACAGATTGTTTCTCAAAACAAAAACACAAAAACATGTTCTTGGTTGTGTGTTTGTTTTTTGTTCTCAAAACTGATACCAAAAACATGTTCTTGAATTTAGTTTCAAAAACATGTTTTCATCTAATTATTCAATTCATGCTCCATAATAAATCATATAATTTTTATGCTAAAAATTTGTTTTTATTTTAAAAACCAATACTTTTGTTGGTTCAAAAAATATGTACTATTTTTTAAACAAAACTAATTTGTTTTTCCTTTTAAAAACAAAAAAATAGAGTTCAAGAACATGTTTTTTGTTTTTTTTTTGTTGATGGGACTGTTTCAAAAGCAAGTAAAAACAAAAACATTCATATTGTAGAACGCCCCCTTAAATGCACCGGCAGATAAAATTATTACCTTACCAAACATCTAAGTGGTCCTAGGCCATTGGTTATGCTAATGCTAGGCTTTAGGTTATGCATTTAGGGGGTGTTCGCCAATTTGTCGTTGTGGTAGTTGTTTTGTCTTTGAAAGCTAAATCATTGGCGGACCCCCCTCCCCCAAACAACAGAAAATGGGTTTATTAGACTGACAGCTTTGAGAAAAAATTAACACTAGTTCCTTCCTTGAAGGGTTAAAGACAAGGTTAGAGGTGTAAATTAGGTCGGGCTGGGCTGCCACAGCATGGCCCGTGGGCCATCTCGGGCCATGCTTCTTTGCCCTGGGATAACTTGGGGGGTTGGCCCAGCACGGCCCAAGGCCCAAGCCCATGTTGTGCCACGGTCCAGGCTGGTCCATGGGCCAAGCTGGGCCGTGGGTTGGGCCAAAGCTATTTATTTAAAAATTTGAAAAAAAGCTTAAAATTTTAGTTTTATATGAATTTTGATGTATACAATTGCTTATATATACAATAATTAAATAATTTAATATAATAAAATTGAACACAATTGTTTAATTTATTAATATATTATATACTATATATTATTATATAATTATAATTTATATATATATATATATATAATATAATATGGGTCGTGCCATGGGCTGAGCCATGCCGGCATGAAGGCCACGGGCGACATGGTCTACTCAGTTGTGCCGTGCTGGACTGGCCCATGGACCTAAACCCCAGGCCCAACACAACCCACACAACCGTGTGGGGCTTGGCATGGCCCACATGCCATCATCTTGGGTCATGCCAGGCCGGTCCAAAGTCGGGCTGGACCGCTACACCTCTAGACAAGGTCATGCTGCTTTTGGTGGAGGCACTCTCCTACTCGATACATATTTAGTTTGCAATTTGGGTGGGCCCAACCCAAGCTCAACCTGACTCAGCTCGAGCTTTTGCATGGATTGGTATTGGATTCTCAATATTGGAATTGGGCTTGGGTCTAAAAATTTCTTGATCTAAACATGCGTGGCATTTGGTTGGGCCTTGTATAACCTGAGCCTCATGGTCCAACTAGCATTGTCAATAGGTTAGGAAGATTTAGCATAACCAAATTGAACCGAACCGACCCATTATATAGGCTTTAGGTCTATATCACATGCCTTGATTTTTTTTTCTTTTAGGCTGTGTTTGACTGAGATGTAAATGTGGATCGACGTCGGTTCGCATTTACAACCGTTTGTTTTTTGTGTAAAAGTGGACTGGTGTAAAACTTTACACTCGGTCCACTTTTGCAATTGATTGTTTTCAATGTAAAAGTTACATCGAAAATCAATGTAAACATGCTTTTTTGGTTGAATTTTACATCGGTAATCGATGTAAATGATACATCGATTAAATTGATGTATTTTTACATTTACTCTCACTTTAAAATTCCCAATGGTCCAACAGTTTTAAATTAATAGACTTTTATACGATGGATTTTTCTATTGACTGACTTTTATATGATGGGTTTTTCAATCACATTTAAACACGACCTTAAGTTTCAACTAAATAATCCAATATTCATATTAGTTGATAAATTTTTGCAATACAAGAGAGAGGGGGGGGGGGGGGGGGGTTGTCTTATTCACTCCAACTCAGTTGGACAAATTGTCCGACCAAATGCTCATTTGATCATGTTTAACTTATGGTCTGCATTACTTTAAATTTTCCAACGGTCTAATAGTTTTTAATTAATAGACTTTTATAGGATGGATTTTTCCATTGACTGACTTTTATATGATAGGTTTTTCCATCACATTTACACGGCCTTAAGTTTCAACTAGATAATTGGTTGATAAATTTCTGCAACACAAGAGGGGAGGGGGGGTTGTTTTATTCGCTCCAACCCAGTTGGACAAATTGTCCGGCCAAATGCTCTCATTTGATCATGTTAACTTATGGTCTAAGTTAGAAGGTTGTGGGGACAATTGGACAAACCACTCAACATTCCTACATACTAAATGTTAACAAACGCTGGCGACAAGAGAAGTCATCCCTGGTCACGAGTGAACGCAGGCGACAAGAGCACACTTCCTGTATGTTGTCACAGGGAATTTTTTTATATATAATAATAAATCACCCAGCGAAAGACGAAAGTCCACCTGTGAACCTGCTATCAGTTATTTTTTGTTGGGCTGAGAGCCGAATCAAAGGCCCACACTTTCAAAAGAATTTAAGATTTAAGGTGTTGAGTACTTGGTGGGGCGTGGGCCATGCCGGGCCTCTGCTGGATCACTCCTGTCCTCGTCACCAACCCAAGTCCGGATCTGCTAAGAACAAAGAAAATGTTTCAATATGATCTATCTATAGATCACAGACATGGTGGGTCCCAGTCTTATAGTAGATAGAATTTATATTAGAAATAGGAATTATTCATCAAAGTTCTTATAAAATAATAGAAAAAATATATATATATTTTTTATTTTTAGTTATTAAGTTTCAAATTTATGTCTATATATATAAATATTATGAAAATTATATAAATCAATTGCTTAACATGAGAACCAATTGGTGGTGACTTAGTTGATAGGTTTTATGGGGGTTTAAGGGTTTGAGGGAATGGTCTGCCCCTAATTTGAAAATGTTTTTAGCATGAGATTAATAATCGAGTTAAAAAAAATAATTTCAAATTGAATGAATGGAAACAACCATTAACTCATATTAGATGATTTATTTGCATTTTAGTATTTAACATGAACAATCCATGAAACAAATATACATTAAATTAATAACAAAATAGAGAAAAACATAATATGCCATGTAAAGGAGCAATGGTTTCTTTAGACTTTTACATAAGAAGAATAGAAGATAGGTCCACACCATGTAGTGGTGGAAAAATTTGTGTTTTGACATTAATTTGGGTCCAAGATAAGGTTCATGTTTAGATTGGCCTTTAGAGAGAGAGAGAGAGAGATTTAAGAATTATTCTATTAATTGAATATGGATTTTATGAAAAACAATTTAAGAATTTTAATTTTGACTTGTTATATTTTTAATGGATTAATTTAAAAATAAAAGTGTACATATGAAAAATGAGTGGAGAAATAAATAGATGAGCTCTCTTGTAAGAGGACCCTCCCCTCTTTCCTCTTTCTATTATATATATTATAGATAAATAGATCCCGTCCCAATTGCCCGAATTCAGATCTGCAACCAAAAAATCCCAACCGGTTGTATTCTCATGCAGTGGCCCGTTGGGACAGTAGATCACTAGATCTCTACCCGGCCCGTCGGCCCAGCCCGTTGATGTCTCGAAATATAAATAGACTATTTATGGGCCTGGAGGTCTGACCTCGTACTTCACGTCCAGTTCCCTCCTACAATGGCAAATCTTCATCGATCCGCTGAACTAAAGGGGCAACACCAACCAAGAGTCAGGACGGCGAATAAGGGCATTTTAGTAAATGAGGAGAATGCATAATTACTAGAAACACCCTACCATAGTCCAATATTCCCTTAATTCATCGTAAAGGGCCCAGTTTCTTAACTCGGGTTAGCGCGCGAGTGAGGGCCCGTGATATAAATGAGCAGAACTGTGAAAAGGCTTTTTGTCTCGGTGTCTCCAATGTTTCTTCCCTACTTCATTCATTAACCAGCGAGCTTTTTTGCATGGCGGCTTCTCCGTCGCCTCCATTCGGCTTCGTTGATGAAGAAAGTTTTCTCTGGTCTCCTCTCTTAGTTCTGCGTTCGCTTCCTTGTTCGTTCCACGTTGAAGGCTGTTCAGGCACTCTCTTTCTCTTTCCCTTTCCCTGAGCTCGTATTTGTCGGTTTGAGGTTTATTTGATGATTCAGTTCATTCAAGCAGCGAAGTGGGTTTTGATCTTCTTTTGCGGTAACCGTTATTTTCTTTGTTTTTTGTTGAACCATTTCGATTTCTGCTCATTTTTTTGTCTGTTTGCGCTTTATTTTTTGTTTTCAATCTTTATACTATGAGTTGAAGAGCTTGTTTTTTTGTTCATTTCAGGTTTTAGTATCTGATGATGGCGGGTTTAAATTTTGACGCAAGGATGATGTTAGTTTCTTCGCCGTTAACAGTCATGCTTCTTCTCATCCTTGCTTGTTATATAGTCTGTGTCTTCTTCATGTTTATTTACTAAGCATATTACTTGGTTCGTTTGTTTAGGCTTGACAGATATCTTTATGATTACTTCTTGAGAAAGAACATGCATACGACGGCCTGGATATTCAAGAAAGAGGCTGAAGTTGCGGACGGCCCTCTTTGTAATGCATCGTTAAAGCCATCTTTTCATTTTGATTTGTTTCATATTTTTCTCTATTTTTCTTGAACGAATGAGTTTGTGTACTTCCATTGTGGAAAATCGGATTGATCTCTGTCTTGGTGATGATGAAGTTTCCCTCTCATTATTTCTCCCCTTACAGTGGGATCGATATTGCATTGATTGCATTCTGAAAGAAATCGTTTAATCAGTAGAAAGAAACACTTCTTTGCAGTAAGGCATTTGTCTAAGTGCCTTTTATGATCAGGAACTTGGGTTTCTTTTTTTAGGGATTAGTTCGCCTGAGGGCTTCTTATGGGACTGGTGGTCTTTGTTTTATGATGTATATACCTCTAGAGAGCGAAAGGATCATTTGACCAATGAACAACCTTCCTTCGAGGTGAGGCTTTGGTCAGCTTCTTTATATTTTGTGTTGTATTGTTATTAGCAAGAATTGTTCGTCTGTCATCTGAGTCGATCCCATATATTTGGGACAAGGCTTAGATGATGATGATTATGCATTTGGTAGCAAGAGGAATGCCACTGATGTCATCTTTAAAATGCTTGAATTGCATTTATAATTGAATTCTTTTTCTCATCAAGCAGGATTATAGGCAGGGGATTAGTTTGGACAGGTTCATTCCCTTGGAATCCACATCATACAGTGTACCAGAAGCTATGTTTCCAAGAACTGGGCTTCGTGAAGCAGGTAAGTTATAGACCTTGTTTGGAGCTTCTTCTCTTGGTTAATAAATTGTTCCAGTTCTTATCTTACGCCATTGTTTTTACTGCCAATTTAACAAAACATGTATTTCTATGAACCTATACAAATCGAGATTGTGAGTATATCTCATTGTTTTATCATGTTGAAACAATTTTTAGTCAATGAGATTTGTAGAGCCATGTGGTGTTTAAATGGAGAGCAGCTCAAAGATGACCTGCCATGAACATGACTTAAATACAGAAAGGAAAGGGGGCATAAGTATGTTTTACAAACTTGTCTGGAACTCTTTAATCCTCTAAGACAGGCCCTACCTTAGGTCTTCCAACAATCCAAGCTGTGGGATGAGGAAACAAATAGGGTATAAAAATTACAAAAGAAAATTATGCTCAATGATTTGGACATGAGGAACTGCTAAAGATTCCAAAGGTTATTGCTTTAATATTTATCCCTAAAGTGAGTGTGTTTATGCATGCATGTAATTATATTAAATGATGCCATCTACACACACACACACACGCACACTCACATGCAAATAATGCATGTACCAGTGAATCAAAGATATGTAATGGTAAACTATGGTACCTTGTTTAATTTTGTAAAAGATTAATATAATACCTCATTAATTCTGATATGAAAATATGAGTGAAGTATTCATGCAACTTGACATGTTGAATAAATAAATTTTATGCAATTTAATTTGTTTTATAATTGATGAGGGGTAATTTGGTCCTCCGAATGACATCACAACACGTGGCACCCCTAGACACCTAGACGACACATCAACATTGAGTAAGCAGACCACCTTGGCGGAGCGGCTAGTAGCACCTCATCCAGGGACGACCTATAGTACCTTGGCTTGGTCGACCTAAGGTACTTCGGTGTAAGGAGCGACCTCCTCCAAGGACTAGCCGAACTGACTTGGGAACAGGTAGCGACTTGCATGACGTGTTTGCTGACTTACTCTTTGAGCTCGTTATCAAGACCGAATTCTCTAGGAGTAACATCGCTTGACCGTTAAGCCCACCTATCTGCATTGTCTACCTAGTCAATTGAAAGGATCTTAGCCCTCTGCATGGATCACGTAACTAACAGAGATATTCTCTCCGAGCATAATGGGAGCAGCTCTTTAAGAATCTCAGACCCGCTACTGGGGGCCTCCATCCCCCCATACCTACATAAAGGCTTCATTCTTCTGAGAGAAGGTACGCGCGATTCTACTCTCGCACACTCTGATCTTCTAAGCATTCTAATTTCTTCTAAAATCCTAATTCACTGACTTAAGCATCAGAGTGCCCACCCCGGGTAAAAGAAACCTGGGTACTTTGAAACTATTTCTTTGCAGGTCTCTCTAGAGAACTACACAGCTTGCCGATCTACTTAGCTCGGCATTCGAACTACCTCCTAGCTCACCCCTAGTTAGTTTGGCTTCTGAGTTACTTTCCAACAGGAAATCCTCCAGCTCGGGATCCAAGTCATCAGCCAGCCGGGAACTGTCGGATCATGCACTATCAGTTGGCGCCGTCTGTGGGAATACACAACAAAAAGTCATAGTCTCACCTTGCTCTCTCATTTCTACTGATCTAATGGCTTCTTCAAGCAACCAGCTTGCCAACAATAGGGGTGTCAATGGTATTTGAAAATCCGATTTCGAATTCGAGATTCTACATAATCAAATTGAATTTGGATAATTTAAATATCTAACTGGTCAAATTTGGATATCCTATTCATACCAAATAGCTAATCGGATTCGAATTTGGATATGACCTGATTCGATTAGATAAATATCCGAATTTGACCGATTATTTAATTCTTATATATAATATATAAAATTTTTAAATGTTTTATATAATTTATATATAATAATTAAACTATATAAATAATTTATATATTTATATACTTTATATAAATAAAATATTTATTAATTACCTAAAATAATTAATTAGTCGAATTCGAATTGAATCGAATATTTGAATATTTAGTTGGATTCGAATTCGAATATTAATTTTTGATATTCGGATATTGAAATTTTTAATTGGATTCAAATTTAGATATTGCCTGATTCGATTCAAATTTGATTCGTTTACACCCCTAGCCAACAACAATAACAACTAGGTCACTGGGGGCATGACCAAGTTGTACCACTCCCAAAGGTCCCCTCAATGACCATTGGACAACTCACAGTGTCGTTGCTGTTGTGGCTATTGTTGCCACAGTGGCTCCTGCTGGGATTGATGTGCGCCAATTCCATGAGTTGGTGCAGTATGTCCGGGGAATGAACGTACGGATGAGGACATGGGAAGAAAGGTTTGCTACCTTGGTAGGGACACAACAATAGCCACAACAGCAACGACAACCACCACATCAATTGCGAACACAACAATAGCAACAACAGAATCATAACGTCAGATCGAACCCGAACCAGGTTCTTGACTAGAATTAGGATCAAATTCCTGAACAAAACTTGAATCGGGCCCTAGTAGAAGAGATGATCCGAGATACAACACCCATTGGGACTGAAGCCACCAGCACGACTAAAGGGTCCCGAAGGAGGTGCCGTAGACGCACACGTCGTGCTTTGAAGAAGAGTCAACTTGGCCTACCGCAAGTGAGGTGGAGAAGAAACACGAGAAGGAGGCCAGCCAGATTGGTAACTCGCTAGCACAACATGTGTATCGCACCTCACCACTAGCCATTAGCCGCCAAGATCCTTGCAGCCCCGTGGCCTAAAGACTTTAAGGCTCCCAGCCTAGAATCTTATGATGGAACAATAGACCCCGTTGACCACCTTGACAGTTTTCAAGCCTTAATGCAATTACACATGGCCAATGATGTGAGCCTATGGCCTTCCTGATGACTTTCCGAGGTACAACTCGGATATTGTACTCGGGATTGGCCGCAGGCTCCATAAGAAGCTGGAACCAGTTCGTCGACCTATTTACCATGCAATTTGCAACCAGCAGGAGGTGCCCAAAGTTGGCGACCTGTCTACTAAATGTCGTTAAGAGGCCGAACAAGAAGCTTTAAGATTATATTAAAAGGTTTAATTTGGAGCGGTTACAAATTCCTAACCTCAACCTTGAAGGGATGAGAGATCCATCGTATGGACACCCAAATCTTGCAGAATAAGGGGGCGAATTTCAAAAATTTTTCTCTCCCTTCAACTGGGAATTGCATTCCCTATTTAGAAAATCATATTTTCAAGGATCAATTTTGAACCATAAACTGAACCAGATTTGAACCAAAAGGAGTAGGAGAGGATTATACCTAATACAGAGAAATAGTATCCCCCAACGAAGGTGTTCACGCCCAAGGAAGTATCCAAAGACTGCTCCCACTGAAAATGGCGCAGTGCAGGATGGAGCAGAATCAGCAGTKTTCTTCTCCAAGAACTCTGTCCTTCGCAAGAATTAGCAGGATGGCACGTGAGCACAGCTTCCTATCAATTCTTTCTCAAAGAACTGATGTCAAAATCGAATCTTGACTTCTCCCACAACTGGAGATCGAATTGGCAAACAGTGCGGCAAGAACAGGGAGGCGACAAGAAAGAATTTTGCAGGGTTGCTTAATTCTTTTTTCTCTGTGATTTCAGCTCTGAAGAGGATTTGATTGTGTGTCTTCTAAAGGTTGCCGCCCCCTCCTTTTGTTAATCTAAAAGATTAACTCCTAATCCAATTAGGAGTTGCTTATCCAAATCATATTTGGATCATACCTCTCTTTAGGTGATAGGGATAAACCCTTATCTTATCTGTAGATTAGATTAGCTTTCTCCTAATCTCATTAGGAGGTTTCTAGATCTGAATCACATTCAGATCTGGACTCTCTGAGTGGATAGGGTCAAGTCCCTATCCTATCTGCTAATCCATCTCAGAATTCGCCCCATTATTAACTAATTAAATAGCCTA